ACATGTGAACTGTTATTTAAAGTCAGTCCAACTGATGTGTCTACACTGATGTCACAGGAATTTTGATTTTTTCCTGTTACTGGCAGGGATGCACAGTGCACTTTTGCAGAGAATCAGGGCAGAGGCACAAACAGGAACATCCATGCCATTATATACAGATGCCTTTCAGTCTTGGCATAAAATTACTTCTGTTTATGGCAGTACCGCTCTTAAAATGTTTGTAGCTGATTATTAAAGCTAATCCTTTTCTGTTCATTAATTTTAAGGTAGCCCAGTTGGTTTGTTGACTAAAATATCATCAAATCTGAGTTCTTGGTCTGGAGCTGCCTGAAGGCAAAGCTCTTCCACAAGCATCTTCTTTCACCTTGCACTTAAAAATAAACCTCTAGATGACTCTCAGTTTGGCTCTTATGTGCTGCTGGAAAAAATAAAACCAGGCTTTCAGCGGTAGCTAACCAGGCAGCAAACCGTGCTCGCTCCTGAGGCAGAGAGCACCCAGATACTCGCTGTTCTGCAGCCATGTGTCCAGCCACAGAGCTGGCTGCAGAGGAAAGGCTGAGTCATTTCCACGGGATGTCTCATGGAGGAGCAAACTGATGCGGGGCTTGGGTCTGAACAGCTCTGTTTCCTGGTGAATAGTAATTCTGTTTACTTAGATGAGGAAAAAAATCACTGGGGGCCTCAGTGCTGCTGTGTCATACCTGACTGGATGAAGTCTTGTTTATCTCAACCTGAAAAGGGAGAGAAGTGATTCTGGTGGCACGTTTTAGAAAATAATTTTCTACTTGTTGGAAGGGTAGGCAGTGGAAACAGTCTATAAGCTTGACTCTGGAAGCTTTTTTATTCTGTGTGTTTGGTAACAGTAGGGATATGTTACCTGAGCGAGAAAAAGAGAACCTTGCAAAGGACTCCATGACCACCTGCAATTTTCTGTCACATCAAAGCAGCTTCACTCTTGTAAATACAGAGGTGTGATTTGGTGTTTAGGTGGGGCTGAGTGATGTGTGTATCTGGCTTGTGATTTTATTTCTGGTCTCCATTTTCATGCAAAATTTGCTCTAACCAGCATTTACCTTTCTATAAAGGACTTACTATACATCTTGTGGTGCTTGTTTATAGGGGAAGAAGAAATCCCTGAGCATACAGGTTAGTCTGAGGATGGGATATTTGGACCCAAGTTACCGGTACTTTTAGGAACATGTCATGAGAATTGGCAGTGCTTTTGCAGGGTGCAGAGGAGCTTGGGTCCCTTGGCAAGTCACACATCGGGCTCGTGCGCCAGTCACCAGCCGCAAAGTGCCGTCTCCTCCACGTGCTCCCTGCTCTGGCAGCAGTGTTGCACTGGCATGCTGCTCTGTGCTCAGTTACATCTGTTGTCGTTCACGTGCTGAAATAGCACACGCGAGCAGCGGTGGGGGGAAAGGGACTCCTGTGCTCGCAGACTGCGGCTGGCACCCAGGCATGCTGTGAAGCCACTGCGGCTTGTCAGAACCTGCTCTATGTTTCAGGACAGTGCTGCCCACAGGTGCCTGGGATCAATTCAAGCTCATGGAAAACAGAAGCGTTCTGCAACTCACCACAGTGCAAAGGATTCAAGGAAGACTGAGCTAAAAACAGTAGTGTTGCACTTCCCTTTAATTTGGTAAACAGCCAATGGTGCTCACCTGCAGTTTGGGCCAGTGATGGGAGGCTGATACCTTTTAATAATCAGAGTTGTATAATAATCAAATTTTCATACAAATTCAACATCTATTTGAGATTTAAAATATAAATCAAAAGTGGGTGAGGTCTTTGTCTACTTCAAAACAGTGCAGCTGCTGGGTGAGACCCACCTCTCGGTAGCTCCTGCTCCCATCTCTAAGAGTAACAACAGGTCTGTCCCATGCTGACTTCTTAAAAGGTACTTAATTCCTGACAGAAGTGGGGCTGACAATTTACTTTTTAGTTCTAAGTCTGCCCAGTTTCAATAATCACACACAAAGGAAGAGAACTCAGAGAGTGCCTGGTTGCGTTCTACATTCAAAAAATTGCTTGGAATCTTATTTTACCTTTATAGTGTGGTAAGGAGAGAGAAGCTCTTGCTATTCCAAGAAAACAAAGCTGTTCTTTGGTTGCTGTTGTGTTCTTTTTTTTGTTTGTTTGTTTGTTTTGTGTTTGTTGTTTTTTTTTTTCTTCTTCATATCTGTAAAACCAAAGTAGTCCAAAGACTGGCCCTGTACCAAAGGCATTTTCCCAACAAGATCTTCATTTTTATATGCCATTTATAGTAAATGAAGACATGTTTGTAGGAGTACCGATAGATGGAGAGGTTGAACATGGGGGGAAAAGAAAAAAAGAAAAAAAAAAACCAACAACACAACAGAGCACTGTTTTTTGAAACTTAAATCTGATTATGCATATATGCTATTTTTACTCCTCTCAGTTATCTGTCAAGGAACATTTGTGCAAATGAATTTTTTTATGGATTTTAAGCATGCAGGCTGGAATGCTGGCAGAAAGATATCCTAAATGCTGCTTGTATATACTGCTTTTCCCCAGGATTTTCAAGGTTAGCCAAATTCTGAGTTCTGAGTTTCACAAATTCATTGTGAAAATTAAATGTCATCTGACCTATAGGACAGATCACAATGAGGCAGCTTTACTTTGATCTGAAGATCAAACACTGTTTTCCAAACTGAGAATATGTATGAAGTAATGGGTGAGTCTCAGGAAAAACAAGTTTCACTTGTGACTGTATTGAAAGTGGAAAGATGTCAAAATTCACAGTACAATATCGGTGAGCTGAGTAGGATGAGTTATTACTAATAATATCCAACTGTCTGTCTCTTGGGTTGCATTTCACATGTCTTATGTGGACTGGCAGATGAGGGTAGTTGTGGAGCTTGTGAATTAGATGTTTTTACCCTACTATTTATACAAATAAAAAATTAAAAGTTTTTATTTAATCTGAATATGTGAACACTATAAAGTGCCTCATTTGTAAAGGTAAGTGAGGATATGAATATACCTATGCATGTCAGTGTATATGTATACACGTATCTCATGCAGAAGAGAGGCATTACAGACACAGATGTGGGGCTGCCACATTCAATACACAGAGTTAGCTGTCAAGGTCTCAGGCTGTGATGGCACATGTACATTCAATCCAACATTGTGTTAAAACTTGCGCGTTATGGATATTTCTGTTAGTAAGACCAGGCCATGCAACTTGTTTTACTGGACAGGAGTTCCCAGTTGGAGGAAACAGATTGGCAACTGTCACGAGCTGTTTCTAAATAGGGGAAGGACTGTAATGTTTGTAAAGGTATAGTGAATAGCGTTTTAATATTTGGTGGCACATTTTCCACTGTGGGTGCCTGGGACCACAGTGTGTGAGCCTGGAGAGGGAGGAGAGAAGCATGTGGCTTTGCCAGGGGTGTGTGGAGGAGAGACAGAAGGGGCAGGAGGGGCAGGTTTCCTGCGATGTCTCTCTGAGTCTGAAATCACACCTGAGATTTCACACTGTCCCACGGACCTGTCTGCATCAGTCTGCTTTTGATTAGACCCAGGGGGGGCTGGGTTTGGGCGAGGACACACAGGATGCAGCTTTGGGCTTGCCTGGTGGAAGCCCTTTGCCATCGTGGCTCTGCAGAGCTCAGATCCTGCAAGGATTCAGTCCTCAGCCTCCCCCTCCCAGGACATCCCAACCTGCCTCAGCCCTAAAAGGGTTTGCAAATCCCCTCTGCCTCAGGTTGAAATTAATTGTTTCAAGTGTTGCTTGCCATCTGGGTTGCAAACCTCTGTTTTGTTTCTAGCCTGAATTGCCTTTATTTTAGACTCCAGCCATTGAAAGCATGCTGAAAAACAGGGAGGGGGATGTTGCAGGGAGACCCCAAGGACTTCCTGCTTCTTGCATCCTGGGGCACAGATGTGTGCAGGGGCTGGTGTCTGCCCTGCAGGGCATTAACCATGGTGGGGTGGCCAGGTGTGTCACCAGGCTCTGCTCCCAGTCTCCAGGCACTGCTGCTTCTCCCTGCCCAGGTCCCCGCACAGTGCCACAGCCCCCAGGGGATACAGAAGCCCTGTGAGGGGGACAAAGGGACAAGGGAGAACGTTGCAGTGACAAGGGAATTGCCCTCTCTGAGTCCCTGTTGGCGGACTGGAGCTGGGAGGAGGTGTGAGGGGGGAGGAAAGGAGGGAAGCAAAGAGCCCCAGTAAACCAGTGGGGCAGAGGGGACCCTCCCTAGCAGGACTGGGGGGGGAGCTGGGGCTGATGCCCCCCTGCTTCCAACCAGGTGCCAGCCAGGTGTCCTCCCCTGTCGAAAACCTGGTGCCAGCTATTTGCTCATCACGGTCACGTTTGTTTGGGTGTCTGCGCCTCCCCGGGAGGCGGCTCTGTCACCGCCAGGTACCCACAGCCCCCTGGGGACAGCCAGGGCCAGCAGCCGCGGTGCGCTAGCTCCCGCAGCCCACCCTCAGCTCCGGGGCCCCCGCTGCACCTCCCCGCACAAAGAGCCTGAGAGAAGAGGAGGAGGAGGAGGAGGAGGAGGAGGGGAGGGTGGCGATAAGGGGCTTGCTTGCTGCGTCGCCTCATTTCTGTAGCCAGCGCACAGCTCGTGGGGTGTGCGCGAGTGCGTGCATCTGCTGCCTGAGGACTACGGCTGCTGCAGCATCAGCGCCGAGCTGCCGGCGACCGGGGCTGTCAGGGGAGCTCTGGCTGTTTACCGCCTGGTGACAAGTGTTGCAGTGCAAAAGGCGAAAGCATCCGTGGAGGGGAGGCTGCGCTGGCAGCGGCACCTGTAAGGAGTGGAGGGGAAGAGGCTTCCCGAGGCATTCGGCAGCAAGCAGCCAAGGCTCCAGGCATCAGCACCTCCTCCCGGTGTCTCCATTGCCACTTGCTTCGGATCTCTTCTTTGAGAGAGAGGAGGAAAAAGGATCCAGAAACCCCCCTGCAACAGGACAGACCCTGCTTGGAGTCTAACAGGTGTTTGCTGGGATTTGAATGGGGAGGGGTTGGGTGGGGAGAAAAGTTAACTGGAGAAATTGGGGCTAGGAGAGATGCGATGATCTTGCACCAAGTGGATGTGCCGTGTCCGCATGTGAATAGCGCGTCTGGAGAAGCTCAGAGGGATGTCTTGCAAATCGCCTGTTTGATCTCCATAGAAGCGCTCACCTCTGCCTGCAAACTTTCCTCTGTCAGAAGTTGGGAGGAATAAAATTTAAAAAAAATAAAAAAGGCACCAGAAAATCAAAAGGGGAAAATCCCACCTGACAAAACCGTTTTGACCTAAACTGTTGCATCCTGACCTGAGGCACTGGTGCCTCCCAGGCTCCAAGCCGGTTGGAGGTGGGTGGCATTGGCCAAGACACCCAGCAGCAGCCCCGGCACTGGGGACAGCCGAGCAGCATGCTGGCCGTGGCACCCGTGGCCGGCCAGCAGACCCTGCGTGCCTGACCCGCCGGTGGCGCCGGGGCGGTGGCGGCCATGGCTGCAGCCATCGCCAGCTCCCTGATCCGCCAGAAGAGACAAGCCAGGGAGCGGGAGAAGTCCAATGCCTGTAAGTGTGTCAACAGCCCCAGCAAGAGCAAGGGAAGCTGCGACAAGAACAAGTTGAATGTGTTTTCCAGGGTCAAACTCTTTGGCTCCAAGAAAAGGCGAAGAAGGCGACCAGGTTGGCAAGGGTTATGTGTTTGGGGGGGTTGTTTTCTTTTATTTAATGCAAACTGGGGTGTGTCAATTGTGGGGAAGGGGGGACCAATGTCTCAGGGCTGGTAAAATGAACTTACAGGTCACTCCTGGCTTGTATGATCCGATAGGCATGGGTACCATATGCTAGTCCTCTCACGGATTGTGTTCATCTGATTTATTTGGGTAGCGCACACCATGGCTTTCTGCCTCACTTGCACACCTGTGTGCACCCACGCAGTAGCAGTGTGTTCAGTAGTCTGTCTCTCTGTTACGCCTATACGTACACAAACACACGTGATTTATTTGTGGGGGAGATGTTAGCAGGGGAAGTTCCCCCACACACACACCTTCTTTAGCTGTATGTTAAATAACTTGGCAGCCTAAAGCTCTGTTTTTGTCTTCCTGCTTTGCAGAATGCCAGTGCCTTGCTTTATTTGCTGATTGCAGAAGAAGCTTTTTGCTTTTGCTGATGCCTTCCAGAGTTTTGCCTCAGCGCCCTGTTCCTTTCTAGGAATCTCATAGATGCAGCTGCCTGCAGACATGATCCTCTCTGTGTCAGAGGTGCAAAAGACCAGGCATGAAGGCTCAGTCCCTGATCTGAGTGTTGTGTTTTGTTGTGTTATGTTTTTTTCTGTACATGGGAGGAGCAAAACCCTCTGGTAGTGTTGCTATCGCTTTGCTGTGCTGAAACATTGATGCCGTTAGCCACTTAACCTGTCTGCCTTTCTCACCAGCCACTGAAGACGTGCCTTGCTTGCAGTTTACAAGCAAGCTTTACAGCTTTTGGATGGTTAAGAAGGCAAAGTTGTGGTTGCATTAATTTTTTGTCAGATTAGTTGGTAAATAAGAATTCTGCATCTGTCGGTACCCTTATTAAAGGTGGCTAATAGGAAGTAATATACTTTTGTAAACTATTATAAGCCTTTCCCTTCATCTCCTATTAAAATGAAGAACAGCAACAGAGCTCCCTAATATCTGTGATTACAAACAAGAGTCTTATTCAGACATTGGAAGTTGGAAATGATACGTGATATCTTCCCAATCTCTGAATTAAGTAAATTGTTGTGGAGTGAGCTGCAGAGATGCAGAGAATGCATCGCCTCCTGACAAGCATAATTGTGTGAAATGACTACAATGCAGATGTCATTGGGATTCAGTGGCAGTAGACCTTTTTTTCTTTTTTTTTTTTTTTTTCTCTCCCCACCCCCCCCAATTACTCCTGATGCATTACCTAGATGTTTTAAATCTTGACAGCAAATCCTGGTTTGGTCTAGAATGATCTGAAACCATTTGAGATATTTTCCTTTCTAATTGTGAATATGAGAATTGTTATGAAAAAAAAATAATCTATTCAAAGTATATGTTGTTTTGATCTTTCTTCTTCTAGCTGATGAGGTAATTACCTCAATCCTTATGGTAATATTTATTTTGCAGTTCCACACATTGCTGGATTTCAGGGTTCTCCCCTCCATTTTCCATATGTTCATTGAGTAGTTTATCACTTTGTTTGCTCTGTACTCTTTGGAGCAGCGAGGACTGGGGGTTTGTTTATTAGAGCTGCAGCAGTTCCTGTGGTAAACGTTTGCTGCTATATATTTAGGCTCTCAGCTGTCACTACAGCTCTTATTAGTGCTATCATAGTAGTCCTCTTTTTACTCCATTTAAGAAATCACACCTTTTTAAAAAGCAGAATGCACTCTTTGCCAACTCATTTCTAATCTGAAATGAGATAGGGCTGAACTCCTGAGGCCAAGCAGCACACTGTTGGAATTTGTATTCACTGGAAGCAGATTTTAATGTTGTGCCTACATTACAATAGAAAGTGGCATTTAATCATTTTGGCAATTTATTTTATAGGCACGGATTTGATCTCACCCTAATGAAAAGTGTTGCTAAGCTGGTTGCCCTGATTTTGTCTTCAATCTTTTTTGATATCTTAGCTTTGAGAAGAAACCAGGAGATTTGTTTTTAGCTTCCTGCTTGGTTGGAATGGCACATCAGGATTTCCCACATTAATCTCACTATTGTTTTTTTTACAGAGCCTCAGCTTAAAGGTATAGTAACAAAGCTATACAGCAGGCAAGGATACCACTTGCAGTTGCAAGCAGATGGAACAATTGATGGAACAAAAGAGGAGGACAGTAGTTATAGTAAGTGACATGAGAATAACTGGTGTGTTTGTGAATTGTGGTGTCTCATTCTTCCCATATAGGTCCATCAAAACGTGTTGTCCTAGAATGACTGAGTGAGTGGAAGCAGCATTAACGCTGTGCTCACAACGCAGAAGTCTTTCAGACTTACTGGGTCTGAAAGAAATGCAAATAAAAATCACTTATAGAAATAATGAACTAGAGAAAGTAATGATGACACATATGACAAACAAAGCAAATGTTATCTCCATGGTAATCTAGAGAAGTTCATTGCTGTCCTTTGGATTTTATTAGATATTTTTTTTTCAACTGGGAAAATTTGCTCGCCTACTCAGAGTGCCTGAAATAGAATAATGCTATCTCCACTCCGAAGCAGGCATTCATTCAAACAGAGCTGTGTTATCTCACATAATGTGAGTTCATCATCATTTTAAAGTTCACATTTCTCTATTATTATTTTTTTTTACTCCTTCTAAACTTAATTATACCTTCAACTTCCAACCAGTTTTCCCCCAGCTTTTCTGAGAGGGGAAAAAAAAAAAAACGAACTGTGGATTTCTGTCTATTTATTTAACAATTTTAACAATTAATAGAAAACAGGAAAAGATGACTAGGGAGTAGATTTTATGTATTTAAATAAAATGTTTAAATGTTTCACACATCTTTACTGTTTAGCTTAAACTAAGTTTCCATTTTGAAAAAGAAGTTGGGAGGAAAAGGTGTTTGAGAAGGTATTTCAGGCCACTTGATCAACAAACCAGGGAATAAACAGGCAGACCTTCCTTTTTACAAACATTGATTACTAAAAAGTACTGATTTAAATGATATCTTTTTAATATGAAAAGCACTTGTTGGAGAAGCATCATTTCATTTTTATAGTGCACTTGACTATGGCCAAATAAGTGCTGGATGCAGTAGGAAGTACCTTACCTTACTTGTCCAATCACTTTTTCATAAGCCCTCTTTAATCCTTTTACATCCCTGTATTCACTTCTGAGTGACAGAAGGAACCTCTTACACTGCTGGAGGTCTCCTCTGCAGCCACTGAAGGTGCTGGCCCTAGGGCAGAATGCAAGCATAGCGCCTGTAGGGACACCTGAGGGTTGGCTCCAGGTCCTCACTCATGAAGAAGGTGGCACAAAGACCAGATCTGTGCAGTGCTGAGAAGATTCTGCCATTTTACTGAGTTCTCCTCTGTGTAGGCACAAAATCTACACTAAGAATGGCCCTTGTGGATCATAAATACGGCTTTTCTTTCAAGTGAATTATCTGATATTTATGATTTTAAAAATCAGTACTGATCAGTACAGATGGTTCAGGATTTCAGGGTAATTCGATAAACATCTTTAAAAATAAAAATAAAAAGAAGAAAATATAGGCAAACCTTACCTTCTCCTTCAGTGCATGATATTGTTATAAACTTTTAGTGTACCAGAGCAAATATGTGAAATTCTATCTTATTTTTGGAGGGATTTTTCATTCAAATATTTTACTCAGAATTCCTCTTGTAGGGATTCTAACACTCTAAATGAGATAAGATTTATGGCAACCTGTCCTTTTGACATTCATATGGATGTGTCTAGTTCTAATATTTTAATTTTCATTGTGTCCTTAGATTTACCATAACTTGACAGATTACAAAGCAAATCATATCAAACTCTAGTTTCTGGACATCAGCCTTCCAAAATGCTGTATGCTTGAACATAATGGTGCCCAGAAATGGTGGCAGCTGGGCTGTGATATCCAACTGTTCAAACATAGGAGAGTTTTTGTCATTAAAAAACACATGCTTTTGCATATATTCCTCTTTGTAAGATAAATGTGTAGACCTGAATGTCCTGTAGTCCTAAACTTATTCTAATAGCAACGTTTTTTTCAATGACATTTTCAAGAGAGACTGATTTTTGCTGGGTATCAGAGACCACATAATGGGCTTCCACTAAATCCTTGCTCAAGTGAATATTAGGTGGATCAGGCCCTCTAAAATTATTTCTTCTGATTTCTGGAGAGAGATCTCTCCTTTGCCCCATCTCTGTGCACCACAGGAGAGCCACAGAAGTTGTCCCCTTCCACATCGTAGAGGACCCCTACTCTGCTTCATTCTCTTCTTTACGTCCCTAAAGGATGTCATTGCTGTTCTCTTTTTTCATCTTCACCAAACATTTGCTCAATGACCATTTGCTTTGCATTGTAGTGAGATAATTAAAATTCCCCTTAACAGGGGGAACATCCTTAAATTCATCTGTGACCAGCAAAGTGGCTGCACAGCATTGGGGCTCTGCAACTGCAGCTTTTGGAGCAAACTAAAGTGATAGTCTGCTTGGTCTCCTTGTTTCAATGTCAGCGTTTGCCTCCTGCATTCATTTCAGGGATGGGGAGAGCTTGTGTCCCCTGTTTCAGGCTCCTGACAGCCTGGGCACAGGATTCCACCTTCGCCATCATTTGCTTCTGAGAGCTATTGGGAAGTTTGCCTGAGGATGCCCTTTGGCTCCTGACTTGCAAGCAATTATTTTGATCTCTGCAAACCCACTGTTTCACACATGGTTCACAAAAACAAGGTCGCATCCACAACTGCAAGGAGTTTAAAAGAAAGCTCAGATTTTGGAGCACAGTTTAGGCAAGAAGTGAAACATAGGGACAAGGAGCTATAGAGCTCACCAGTTGTCATTTTTAGCCAAGAGTCCATGTAATTTGAGGAAGTGCCTCGTGGAAGGGATTTCCTGGCTGAGAACCAGATTCTGCCTCATTTAACGTGTTAAATAAGGTAAGGTTTTAAATCAAGGCAGAATTTATTTCCCAGTTTTGGCAAGACAAAGAGATTTGAGGACTTGTATAACAGGGAAACATAGGAAGCAATACCCTGCTGAAGGTATGTGAAAGTCCAGGTGGCCAAGCCAAGGACGACGCAGATGTCACAGCAATGTATATGTTAATAAATCCAGCTGTGACCCACTGCCTCTATTTTGCAGCTCAAATTCTATGTCAGCTTGTATTGCACAATGGCTGTAACAAAGATCATCTCTCTCTTAGGCATTGCCACATTTTTCATTACGATGGATATTACATCCTTATTTTGCACAGTGCAAATGTAATAAGAAGAGGCTAGGATGCAAATAACTGCATTGTTTCATGCTAATGCAAACTGATCATAGTAGCAACCAATTTATTTTCCCATGGCTTTGTTGCCCCTCTTTCTGTTATATCCACCCCCGTGAGGGTCAACTACTAGAAATGCAATAGACTCCCATGCCTGTTGTCGGTGGCAGTAGGTGCTCATGGAGAAGGATGCTGCGCGGCTCTGCTCTTGGCCAGAATGCAGAGACTGTGTTACTCCCCCAGCAGCCTTTTTTTGCAAATTCCTATAGTCTGTGCTCTAGCAGCTGCCAATCCCACCAGCATCTACACCAGCTTCTGAGTGTGCCCACCCCTCGCCTTGCCTCAAAATAGAGCACGTACATTTATGGCAGGAAAACATTCTCAGCTGCGGAGGAGAGCAGCTGAGCATCCGGCGCAGCAAGTCCCCTAGCCTTCGCTCAGCATCCTGTCTCTGCTCACTTTGCCAAGTACAGCACAGCCAAGAATTGCTCAGTAAAGCCTGTCTTGGTGCCTTGTGGCTGCAAGCTCTATCTTCTTGACTGACCTAGGCTTTGCCCTGTCCTCAGCTGATCAACTGGCAGGTTGGTAGCACCATTTGCAGCGTAGCCCATACTTACACCCTTGCTTGTCCTACTCAAAAAAACACCGTTTAAAAGAGCATCTTTCAAAAGAGATCTCCAGGTTCTGCTTGGATACTGAGCTTTAAATTTTGCTCTCCTGCATAAATGGAGATCAGATGCTGCTTGTTGACGGTTGAACTGCAAAACTGGGCTCTCCTAGGGAGTGTTCTCTGAGTCAGATAGAATATTTTCTCCCACAGATAAATTCAAGCATTTGATAGAAAGAATGAGAAATCCATAGCTGAGCATTTTCCTTAGTGAAAGTCTACATTTTGTTTGCTAAAAACTGCACATAGCTAAGAGATTTTGTTTTAGTGAAGAGAAAGCCATTTCTGCTGATTTTGTGCTTGCAGGCGAGTGTGAGTAGGGGCTGTGTGCCTGTGTGTGTCTGCATGTACATTTGTGTATATGAAGGGGAAAGAAAAACATATACGTGACTTTAAGATCTCCTGCATTTATTAGTTCTGCATATTTCCACCTGGTCTGCTATATACAACCATTGTAGAAAAAGCAGAGAGCAGGAAATTCAGTGCTCAAAAGTGCCCTGAGCTCACAGCACAGCAACCGTAGTTTGTCGTGTGCCAGGACAGCCAGACAGGCTCTGTCCTCCAGGAGCCCATGGTACCCCTTATTCACCATGGCACCTCATCTTCACTGCTCCGTGGGGCTGAAATTCTCAGATAAACCCAGGGCAGCACAGGGAGGTCCAACTGGTTGACTGAGCAGAGGGTGTTTTCACCAGAAATTAGCTCTTCATCCCCAGGGCATTTCTAGCTATGCCTTTATTGAGGTAGGACGTGAATATATTTGTGCTTTCCTGGTTTGATACGTTTTTCACAAACCCACACCCAGAATTAAGGATCTGTACTAAACGCTGGCAGGCTATGAATTTTCTTGTAATTAAATATGATGATTATCAGGGTTGCCAGGCTGAAAAAGGTATTTATAAAGGGTCATAATTCTTTTGGAAAATAATAAAAATATTTCAAATTCATAATTCAGTTTTAAATTGGCTTCAGATAGTGCCCTTAAATACCAAAGTTCAGCCTGAAGCAGGCTGGAGTTCTATAGCCAAAGAATAGACCACTGGAAATAAGAGCCAGTTTGGCATTGCTTCACCCTAACTCTGCACTTACGCAGCAGTCTGGAAGATGTTTTGGGTTATTATAACAGCCCTTGAAAATTTTGTTAACTCCTCCTTTTTATTTTAATCCTGCATGTCATAGAATATTACGAGTTGGAAGGGACCCACAAAGATCATTGAGTCCAACTCTTGGGTCTGCACAGGACCACACAGAAATCAGACCCTATATCTGAGAGCGCTGTCCAAACATTGCTTGAACTCCGGCAGGCTCAATGCTGTGACTACCATATGAAACACAGAACACAACATTCAACTCATTATTACTTGTGTTCACTTTTAACATAGTTAAGAATCTAAGCCTTGGCAGAGCTTTGCTTATTTTAATAATTTGCCACTTTACAAACCAGTATCTCTTAAAAAAAAAAAAAAAAAAAAAAAAAAAAAAAAAAAAGGGGTTTCTCTGCTTATAAATATTGCCGCTATTAGTATGTATACAACCATAAATGTAAGCAGAACACTCAGAGCATCTCAACTTTGAAGAGACAGATTTAGGGCTTGATCTAAAGAATATGCTGTCATTTCATTGAATTTTGAGGTTATTTGACCCTGTTTATTCAAAACCATTCTTCTCTCAGAAAGACTAAACTAAACCAAGGTGTTTTAAGATGTTAATGAAGGGTTTTAACTTTTCTGAGTTTCATCTTGCTGCTCCTTTTTGTTCAAAAAACATTTACAGAATTTTATCTTAATTTGAAAAAGAAAAATAAAGAGATAATCTTGAAAAATGTTGGGGGTATTTTTTTCTTTTTTCCCCCCACATTTATTACCAGTAAAAAATAAATGACATTAAATTCTGTTCAATTCCAGCAGAATCTGACTTCTGCTCATGAGGCAGATGAGTTATTTCATCTCTCAGTACCTCCAGTTTATTATCTTCAGAAGGGGGCAAATATGCTGATCATCCTCTGTAGATAATTTCTGAGCTATCGGTAGAAATGTCTATATAAGACAAAGTAGCAGTATTGTTTCATAGCGCTCGCAGAAATTAATATATGCATGAATGGACGTGTTTTATTTGGTTCTAGTAATTATGGCTTAATTCTCTATCTAAACTGCATACTTTAAAGGATTAATTTTGCTTTCCATATGCTTTCTCTCCTAGCTTTGTTTAACCTCATACCTGTGGGTTTACGAGTGGTGGCGATTCAGGGGGTTCAAACAAAGTTGTATCTGGCAATGAACAGTGAAGGATACCTATACACATCAGTAAGTAAACATGAATTTTTGCTCTCACTTAAATGCTGATAAGATCTTTATAAATGAATAAGTTGTTGTTCAAAGGAATCCAATTATAACCTATAATGGAAGGATTTGACAGTGAATTGAATGAAGTGCTGATATTCTGGTTTAGCTTTTTTTTTTTTTTATTTTCCATTATAAATACATATGAAAGTATGGAATCAAATTGTGGTGCCTCGGATCCAAACTAATGATCCTGAAGTGTGAAATAAATAAAATTTTAAAAAGAATAAAACCCACAAAAACAGACAGGAAGCCCTCCCTTGGTCACTGGGGATTGATTACTCTAATCTGTGAGGAGTAGAGAGGAAAAAGGACAACTTGGTGAATCACATGCATGCCTGAACACGTTTTATATCTTCCAAACTAATCTCTATTGCTGTTATTAAAAGGGATTAGAGAAAGTTTTGTTTGTTTGTTTGTTTGGTCAGGGTTTTCAAATAGAAATGGAATTAAAATCTTAGGGCTTCAAGATACTGCATGAGTAAAGAAATGTTTCATTTAGCAATTTTGATCAAGAATGTCTGTTAATAATTTTCCTTGACATTTCTCAAGAGAGCAAACACAGTTTTCATGGAAAAAAAAAAAAAGGACATTTTTTAAAATAGACCATTTTTCAATTAAAAACATTTAGCTGAACTATGTTTAGGACTTTTTAATTATAAAGTCTTAGTAGATTTTTCCCAGGGAAAAAAAATAGAGGAAAATATAATTTATTATCTACCACAAATTATTCTCTTTTAAGAACAATTCCCTTGAGGTGGCCTTAATACTGGTAACAATTAAATAAACTTATTCAAATCTCTCATTTGTTTTGCAATCCTTACAGCTGGGACAACGGACCAGCTTTGTATATTTTTCCTCTTCTATCTGCAAAAGCAAATTAGAGGTGGATATGCTTTGGGACAAAGTAAAATTTCAGCGAGTGGCATCATACTCCATTTCCCTTTTTGCTCTGGCTATTTGCTCAACGTGGTTAATCCACAGATCCGTTTGTGGGGCTGTAGCCACACAGCCAGATCATGCAAAGCCCCCTTAATCCTGTGTAGTCATGGTCCTTTGACTGCGCAGTACTATTTACATTTGCACTGCAAATGTACCTTTGACTGCACTGTGTGCTTTCATTTACATTAGCATCCTCAGCCGTGCTTCTTTCTGGCTGTCCGCTCACCAATAGCGCACTGTGCCGTGCGGGCTTCTGCTGGCTCCATTCTGCCTCTGTGAACGTTACCTCGAATCACGAGTTGGGATAGGATAGAGTGATTTGTGCAATAAAGTGAAATTCTGTCATTGTGCACAGCGAACACGCTGGGTTTGAGTAGAGCAGATCTCTCATTGCAAGATACATGCTGGAAGAGTCGGATCTATTTTTGTAAAGGTTAAAAAAAATGCCATGATGCAGAAAATGGGATACAGACAAATTCAGACCTACAATGCAGTAGTAACTGGAAAGGGACCATCACTTCTAGTATCCCTAGATGTGCGGAGGTTGTAGCAGAATATAACACTTTTTTGATGAAGACCATCTTTTAGTTTGATGGGCTTGTAGGCACCTTATGCTGACCTCAGAGACTCATTTGGATTGTCATGGTTGACATTTGCATTGGTTAGAGGTAGTTCTTTGTGTTCTCATACGTTAACATGAATGGTGTCATCAATGAATCCTTTATTATCTGTGAACTTAATAGTTAATGCTATTGCAAAATTAGCTGGTGACATCCATCTATTTTTCCCTTATTAATAATGGGCATTCATGTTTCCTTATTAGGCAACTATATTTTCATTTATTTATTCATGTATTCTTCTTGAACCCGATAGGCTTAGCAAGGCCCTCAACAGACAACTGTAGTGTTGCTGTGTCCCAAATTCATATTTTTAAATGCTCTTTCACAAAGACAGGCATTCATTTAATGTGAAACTACTTTTCCAAATAAAGTTTCCACTCAAATTCTCAGTAATCTTGGTTTTATTACCTGGTGCCTCTTGTTGTTTTATTATTATTATTTTTATTATTTTATTTTATTTTTATTTTATTTTATTTTATTTTTATTTTACATTAATTGCTAGGCACTTTCTGGGCTTGAAAGGCAAAACCTAGCTCACAGCTCTGTTGATGTCCCTGGGAATGGACAGGGGCTAGTGAGGAGCCTCTGCCCCCTACTTCACCTGCTATGTGAACAAGTTGCCACAATTGCAGCTTCAGCACCACATTTTAAGTGTTTCTAGCCCTTCCTTTGCCGATAATGGTCTTTTCAGCAAGGCATACGGTCTGACAGTCTGTTACCTGAGAAATTAGCTCTATATTTTGGGCTGGATTCTTAGTTGATGTAAATGAGTCCCAAGAGAGCTCAGCTGATTTATACCAGCTGAACACTCACCTGTTCAAGGGATGCCAACAGGGAGCCTGGGGAAAAGATCAGCTCAAGTAAATGACATCCGTCTACACATCCTGAGGCTTTCCAAGCCCCTAAAGGGAGGTGTTCCTGAATGGGGTTTGTCAGGAGCAGGCAGATGGCAACACGGGATTGATCAGCAGCAAAACTCCCATAAAACACTGACAAACTCTTGAAGCAAGAACACAGGGAAAAATAGGAAGGTACTACAATTGTAGATAACTGTAATGGATAGTTGCACCGTTTTCAGAGAGAAATCAAATTAGCATTGATGATACAATGTAATAGGGAGAGACGGTACTGTGGTCCGTGTCATGATCACATGCTTTCAGTTTTATTGCAACTCTAAAGCTTCAGCTGTGTTTGTGTCTGCAAGGTTTACTTCAGGAGGTTACAGATTCATTTGGCAAATGACTTGAAAAACACCCCACTAACGTGTTGTCCCTGCTCCTTGCCCTGTGCCGCCGTCTGTGCCTCACTCTCGATAGTGCCTTTCAGCCTGAAACACTTCCAAAACACTGCGCCTGATAAAGAGGCCATTAAGTCCCTGGCAATTACCCCGCTGGTAGATAGGTAAATAAGTCATCTGGCTTACCGAGAATAAATGGAGGCTCAGCTAAGTGCTTTCCCATACTCACCCAGGAAAGCGTAGACTTTAGGACTGATATACCAAGTGTCCCATTTCCATGTGTATCTTGCACTAAACCATATTGCTAAATCACAATTCCTTTTCCTTTGACAGATTGTAGCAAATTCTTGTGCTTTGTTCCTTGTGGTATATTTTTTAGTTTTGAACTGAATTGGCTGAGGTGATTCTGGGTATCTTGCGTATGTAGAAAATATGTCCTGGCCACAATGCATATTACAGTGGGTGGCAGATAGAGAATATCTGTGGATGCAGTTTGCCGATTTGATTAGCTCTGGCTTTGGCCTCACCCCTTTCCCCCAGCAGTCTGTCAGGACAGTGATTCAGGTGTCTGTCCTCAAAGGCAGTCTGCAGTGTGGCTTGCTTCTGATCCAGTGACTATACTCAAGAGTGAGGTGAATTTGCTCCATGAGGGGATCACTGAAGTATAATAAATCTGCAGAGAACAGATATCTGTAGTTGACTGCCAGACTTCATAGATAGTTTGCGGCGTCTGTCAGTTAGAGCAAAAATAAGATCTTTAATGTAATGATAAAAGCTCCTCAGGACAGCAACTCAGCTAAGAAAGAAAAAATATATATATATCTATTTATGTATATATATTAAAATACATATCTTAAGAGATGCATTAAAAGTCCTTGAGTACAGAGAAGGGAAGTGACCTTGGCTGTGTGCTCATGACACTCTAAGCACTGCATGTCTCCCCTCCACACAGGCAGGAAAATGTGCCTTCATATCGCAGAATAACACCCCATTTTTTTTTTTATTTTTTTATTTTTTTCTCTAGCATGTTTCCTACTAAAGTCAAGGGGAACTACATCTCCCAAGTTGAACTCACCCTTAAGATTTTCCTTGTTGGGACCTTGGGAGCTATTGAAGCTGTAACTATTCCTGCTGTTTGATACTTGGGCATACCTGAAAATGAAAGCACAGGGTTTAATTTATCCCTCCTTACACCAGTGTTATGCTGCTGTAAGGTGACTTAATCAGTGTTATGGCACTGTCGTCTTACATAACCACTTTAATGAATCACGCCCTTTTGTATTTTAGGAATGCTTTTATTTTATCTTATTTTTCTTTCTATGAACAACCACATCTTTCAGAAGACCAAGATCTATGCTAAGCTTGATTTTTTTCTGGCTCCATACCCTATGAATTTCTTGTGTGTGTGTGTGTTTGTTTTTTTGTCTTTTTTTCATTGTCTTGCACAAAAGAGTGAAAAATATTTTAAGGATCTGTTTGTCAGATGTAGTCCTAGAGTTATTGCTTTCTCATTAAAGCGATTGTGATTTGACAGAAAAGGCTCACGGTGATACAGAGCAGCAGCTGAGAGAAGTTCATTAAAGGGAAGGCGTATATGCACTAGGTGAAAAGAACTGAGTGTGCTGTTTGAATTCTACATAGGTTGAAACATAACCCATATCACAGGAATTTTCAAAGCTTAGCCTAAGAAAAACTATCTGCATATTTTCCAGAAACTATCGTGTCAGAGTTTTAAAATCATTTAATGATTTTCTGTGAGGTGCGTATATCTCCTATAGAATATTTCAGCTTATGTAATTGTGTTCTTGTTTAGCCTGTATATATCATGACAAAACGTAAAATTAAATAGATGTGCTGCTCATTGCATCTTTCTGACTGGTCTTAGGGCCTGTGCCACTCAGCTTGTGAGGAGTGTGTGTTTTTCACCTCACTCTGTGATTTGCCAAAGCATCTGGTTTAATAGTGTCATACATGAGTAAGCTTGTAGCTTCTCCCAGCTGGGTCAGGCAGACAGGTGTAGAGGAGAATGTGGGTTCGAGGAGTCCCCAGTTTGGCTTTCCCTTTCCCAGCCTTTTCCTTTTCCCCCTTGTGTGGACAAGGGCTGCCTGAAATGCCTGGTTCCCCAGCAGTGCTCCAGGGAGGGGGGCAGTGGGACAAAGCCTTTT